TCCTTGTACCACGTGACGCAGGCGGGGCCCTTGGAGGCGATGGCCATGCCGACGAGGCCGCCGACGCAGGAGTGGGTGGTCGAGACGGGCATCTCGAACTTGGTGGCGATGAGGAGCCAAACGCCGACCGCGCCTGCGAGGCGGAGAGGGGAGGGGTCGCTCCGGCGGGCGCCGCAGTGCGCGACACTGGTCGCGCGTGCTCGACGGGGGGGGGGGGAGGGGGCGAGGCTGGGCGTCTGGCGGGGCGGGGCGGGGCGGCGGGTGGCGGGGGCACGGCACCGACGACGCAGAGGTTGCCGTACATCAGGATCGCCTGGTCCATGTACGTCTGCGAGTAGCACTTGTAGTCGGCGGTGCCCTTGCGGATGGTCTCGGCGACCGACGAGCCGGCGAGGACGGCGCCGGCGAACTCGAAGATGACGGCGAGGAAGCAGGCCTGCTTGATGGTGAGCGCCTTGGAGCCCACCGAGGTGGCGTAGGCGTTGGCGACGTCGTTGGCTCCGATGCCCTGCGCGAGGGGGCGAGCGGGTCTCGCTTTGGCGCGCTTGGACGGGGGCGGTGGGGGGCGGGGGCGGGGGCGGCGCACAAAGGCGGTGAAGATGGCGGCGATGGCGCCGAAGACGACGATCCACTGGTACTCCTGCAGCGGGTCCATGACGCTCTGCGGCGAAGGGAGGAAGGTGGTGAGGGCGAGGAGAGAGAGCGGCCCGCGCGCGGCCGGCGGCGCGGCGCGGGAGGAGCGGAGCGAGAGAAGCGGAGCGGGGCGTGTGGCAGGGGAGCGGGTCGGAGGGCGGAGGCGGGCGGGGTTGGGCGTGGGGGCGGTGGGGCGAGGGGCGACGCGGGCGTGATTGGAGAGAGCGTGCTACCTTTGACGTTGCCTTGCCTCGTGACTCTCTTTAGCGCCGACGGAGCTATAACAAGGTAAAATGCATTCCGACGGCATTTCGACTTTGAATTTCTTGTCGTCCTTGGTGAAAAAGGCGTCTCTTTTGCTCGCCTTCCCTGGGACCCCGTGTTGCGTGACTGTCTCTGTGCGATTTCGGGCCCGGGGTAGCGGGGTTGTGCGTTGCTATTCGGACATAGCTTGCTATGAAGGTTATCCTTCAACGTGAGGAGAGGGGGAGAGCAAGCAATACCCAAAATATGCGATCCAAACTACCAGCGCCGCGCCGAAAGAGCGGAAAAGAGCGCGACCGTCGGCTCGCAGCGTTGGGCTGCTTGCTCAACCCCATCGTCCGAGTCGTGCGCAATCTCGCGTGATGACATCTCGCCCTGATCCCATGCCAGTGGGGCAGGCGCGTCATATCGTCGGCGATGGGCCTCCTCGAGCCAGCGTTCCGCCTCACCCAACGGCAAGGAAGAGGCCGGCCCACATGGGCAGACCTCCACTGGGGCCACGTGCAAGACAGTATGCAACGTGGCGCCCAGAGAGACAGCTCCCCAACCCCCGCCGCCAAGGCATTGGGCCTGAGGTGGAGCTGTCCGAGGACGGATGACCGAGTCCTCCAGAGGCAAGCCAGAGGCATGCCAATAGCAAGCCAAAGGTAAGCTGCTGGCGTCCACAGTTGGCGACCTCAGTGTCGACCACAAGGGGCGAGATCACGACGTGGCGTCCCGACACAAGGGTGCCGACCGGGTGAGAACGCCAGGCGAGCCCCACAGTGGCGTCCATGGCGTGAGGCCAAGGCCGCGCCATGGCGTCCACACAGTCGGGCGTCCACAATGTGTGACGACCCCATCGTGGCGAACACAAAGAGGCGACCGCTGTGGCGACCAGCGGTACGCCAAAGGGTGCTAGAGGCGTGTCTGGGTAAGCCGAGGCTTGACAGCCACCTTCGAGGCCTCGTGGCCACCTGTGAGGCTTGTGAGCCATCTTACGGAGCCTTCATGGCTAAGGCCGTTGAAGCGACCATAA